ACTGAGGGGCAGACACAGAATTGTTACTGAGGGACACAGAATTGTTACTGAGGGACACAGAATTGTTACTCAGGGACACAGAATTGTTACTGAGGGACACAGAATTGTTACTGAGGGACACAGAATTGTTACTGAGGGACACAGAATTGTTACTCAGGGACAGACACAGAATTGTTACTGAGGGACACAGAATTGTTACTGAGGGACACAGAATTGTTACTCAGGGACACAGAATTGTTACTGAGGGACACAGAATTGTTACTGAGGGACAGACACAGAATTGTTACTCAGGGACACAGAATTGTTACTGAGGGACACAGAATTGTTACTGAGGGACACAGAATTGTTTACTCAGGGACACAGAATTGTTACTCAGGGACAGACACAGAAATTGTTACTGAGGGACACAGAATTGTTACTGAGGGACACAGAATTGTTACTCAGGGACACAGAATTTTTACTCAGGGACAGACACAGAATTGTTACTGAGGGACACAGAATTGTTACTGAGGGACACAGAATTGTTACTCAGGGACACAGAATTGTTACTCAGGGACAGACACAGAATTGTTACTGAGGGACACAGAATTGTTACTGAGGGACACAGAATTGTTACTCAGGGACAGACACAGAATGTTTACTGAGGGACACAGAATTGTTACTGAGGGACACAGAATTGTTACTGAGGGACACAGAATTGTTACTCAGGGACACAGAACTGTTACTCAGGGACACAGAATTGTTACTCAGGGACAGACACAGAACTGTTACTCAGGGACACAGAATTGTTACTGAGGGACACAGAATTGTTACTCGGGGACACAGAATTGTTACTCAGGGACACAGAATTGTTACTGAGGGACACAGAATTGTTACTCAGGGACACAGAATTGTTTAATTAAAGAGTATGTCAGACAACACGCAGAGGAGTGGCAGAGGAGGCAATGTTTTAGGAGCGAGCAGACGTGGCAGCAGAGGAAGGGGTCGAGGCAGCACTAGTCGCAGCCAGAGGCCAGTGCTCCCGGTGTCATCCAGCGGTCGTGTCTCCACCGACAACCCTGCCGTCATCGATTGGTTGGCTCGGTCGTCTTCCTCTTCCCAGGTCACCTCTGACACCTACAGCCAACGGTCGGTGGGTACGTCAGACACAACCGTTAGTTGGCATGGCCCGGGAGAAAGCACACTGAAATCACGTGTCCTCTACCTGCCCCTGTCCTTTGGTGTTCCCTCACCAAGCGAAGTATCGCATGCTGTGGGCTCAGCCCCACTGTACAGTGAGGAAGAGCTAACAGAGGGCGGTCAGGAACGGGGGGAGACATCCGCCTCTTCAGCAGCCAGGCGAAGAAGTACTGGCGGTAGCAGGTCTAGAGACAGGTCTGTCTCCTGACCCACATGCAGCCGAGGGGGCTAGTAGTGAGGCGGAGACCCTAATTGATGATGATGAGGCTGATCGCACTTGGCAGCCTCGTCGTCATCAGGCTATTGCTTCCGCATCATCAGGAGAAGAGGGTGCCAGCTTGGCAGCGAGCAAAACAGTCGGTGGGTTGCCCAGGAGGCAGCAGGGTCGCGCAGCAGTGTAAGTGGAGGCAAACGGCCACGGAGTAGAGCACCAGCTCCACTGCAGCCTACCACCACGGCCAGTAGTGGTGCCGGTGTGCACGGAGGAAGTAGCAGTCAGCCAGTGAGGAGTAGCGGGGGCAAAGTTTCCTACTCGGCGGTGTGGCAATTTTTCGTCAAGCCGCCCGAGGAAGTAAACGTAGCCGTATATGTCGACTATGTGGCCAGAAAGTCAAGCGTGGCCAGGGGGCCCATGTTGGGACTACAGCATTGCGTCAGCATATGCAGCGTCGCCATTTGGTGGCCTGGGAAAACCGTGATAAAGATACGGCGGTTCTGCCTGCCTCAGCCCCCGCTCCATCACCCGCTCCGTTACTTGCTCCGTAACCCGACGTCAATCGCCCTCTATCAGCCAGTCAAGGCTCCAACACCTCTGCTGAGGGGAATTGTCGCTCGTTGGCATCTTCCGCTCGTTCAGATGCTCCTTCTCCTGCTACTCCTCTTCACGGATTCCGTCAGCAGTCTTTCTTGGAATCCGTTTCCAAGAGACAACAGTTTGCGAGCACGCACCCGACGGTGCAAAAGCTGAACGTCCTCCTGTCCAAGTTGCTGGTGCTGCAGTCCCTCCCTTTCCAAGTGGTGGACTCAGCACCTTTCCGAGAAATGATGGCTTGTGCCGCGCCGCGGTGGAGAGTGCCAAGCCGGCATTTCTTCGCCAAAAAGGCAGTGCCAGCCCTGCATTCACATGTAGAAGAGATGGTGGGCCAGTCTTTGAGCATGTCGGTCTCTGCCAAAGTGCACGGCAGCGCCGACGTGTGGAGCTGTAACTACGGTCAGGGACAGTACATGTCATTTACGGCCCACTGGGTGAACGTGGTGCCGGCACAGCCGCACCAGCAACTTGGACAGGTCACGCCGCTTTTGCCTCCACGTTTGCACGTCCTTGGTCCGGCAAAGATGTCCGCCTCTACCACCTCTTCTTCCGCCGTGTCCTCAGCCGCCACCCCCCTGCCAAGTCCCATTACCTGACCGGCATATCACATGTGCAGGGCGCAACGGTGTCACGCTGTGCTGCACCTGGTATGCCTTGGCGTACGTAGTCACACAGGGGAGGAACTTCTGAGTGTAATGAACAGAGAAATCGACAGATGGCTGTCTCCGCGCAAACTGAAAATCGGAACCATGTTGACCGACAACGGAAAGAACATGGTGTCTGCTCTGCGTCAAGGAAGGTTGTGCCATGCGCCATGAATGGCTCACGTGTTCAATCTGGTTGTCAAGCGGTTCCTAAAATCCACCATCCCACTGCAAGACATCCTTAAAATGTCACGTAAACTTTGCATGCATTTCAGCCATTCCTACACCGCAAAGCACACCCTCCTTGAGCTGCAGCGGCAGAACGGAATTCCACAGCATCGCCTGATCTGCGACGTTGCAACAAGGTGGAATTCAACCCTACACATGTTAGACCGCCTTTACGAACAGCGAAAGGCCATCACCGATTTCCTGATGTTACAAGCGGATAAAGGTACTCCCCTGTGTAACTTCGATGTCAGCCATTGGCAGCTCATGCGTGACACCTGCCGCTTGCTCAGGCCCTTTGAGGAGGCCACGCTATTCGTGAGTCGGCAGGACTATGGGATGAATGACGTCATTCCTCTGTTGCACGTCCTGGAACAAATGCTGTTAACAATGCTGGTCAGGGTGCGGTAGACGTGGCGCACAGATCTCAACGCCACATGACCCCTGTGGGGGCAGGACAGGAAGAAGAGGAGGAGGTAGAGGAGGACATTGGTGCTCAGGAATTATTGAGTGAAATGGGTGGTTTTTTCCACTCAGCGGACAGGAGTGGAGGAGCAGGAGCATCTGGTAGAGGAGGAGGAGACAGAGGACCCAGACGCACCGTGGCAGTATGCTGTGGAGATGGAGGCAGGGAGTCCCTCGCATTCCTTGGCACAAATGGCCCATAGCATGCTCGGTTGCTTGCGTAGCGACAGCCGAATAATAACCATCAGACAGAGGGATGACTTTTGGCTGTCCACCTTGTTGGACCCTCGCTACAGTTCAAAAATGGTGGCCTTTTTCACACCTGCTGAGAGGGAGGCCAAAATAACGTACTATAAAAAAAAACACCTATGTAGTCAGTTGGTCTCTGCCTTTCTGCGCCAACGTCCATCCTCAGACACTGTGGGCCCTGTGTGCTCGCGTTCCGCTGCCATGGCAGCAGGGGAGGGGTGGGGTGGTAGGAGCAGTGGCAGCTCCACCAGCAGCGGCTGCCTCAGTCTGCAGTCGATGATGAGTAGCTTTCTTCACCAGCGCAGTGAGAAAACTACTAACCAGCCGCAGCAGCAGCAGCAGCATCAGGTGGACCTGGAGCAGGACCTCAAACAACAGGCTTGGGCCTACTTGGACAACACCCTGCCAACCGAGGTAGACAATCCCCTTGACTACTGGGCAACGAAACTTGACCTTTGGCCCCAACTAGCTGAATTTGCCCTTGAAAGGCTGTCATGCCCGGCCAGTAGCGTGGCATCGGAGCGCGTGTTTAGTGCGGCAGGAGGTATTGTAACTCCGCGGAGGACACGACTGTCCACCCAAAGTGTGGAGAGACTCACATTTGTGAAAATGAATCAGGCGTGGATTAGTCTGGATTTCAAACCACCAGTTCCTGACACAACTGACTAAATCCGCCATGAATCATGCCCCAAACATGTGCCACTTTCAGGTCTCCTCACACTGCTGGTGTGTTCCATTTTGTCATAGGGTGCTGGCAGATTACGGGCCTCCCATTGCTGCTGCCAGGCCCGTAATCTGCCATGAGCCCCAGTACCGCCTCCTCATGCTGCTGCCAGGTCCAGAGTCTCTCATGGGTCCCTGTACGGCCTCCCATTGCTGCTGTCTCCATCGCCACACTCTGCCATGTGCCACTTTCAGGTCTCCTCACACTGCTGGTGCTGTCCATTTTGTCATAGGGTGCTGGCAGATTACGGGCCTCCCATTGCTGCTGCCAGGCCCGTAATCTGCCATGGGCCCCAGTACCGCCTCCTCATGCTGCTGCCAGGTCCAGAGTCTCTCATGGGTCCCTGTACGGCCTCCCATTGCTGCTGTCTCCATCGCCACACTCTGCCATGTGCCACTTTCAGGTCTCCTCACACTGCTGGTGGGTTCCATTTTGTCATAGGGTGTTGGCAGATTACGGGCCTCCCATTGCTGCTGCCAGGCCCGTAATCTGCCATGGGCCCCAGTACCGCCTCCTCATGCTGCTGCCAGGTCCAGAGTGTCTCATGGGTCCCTGTACGGCCTCCCATTGCTGCTGTCTCCATCGCCACACTCTGCCATGTGCCACTTTCAGGTCTCCTCACACTGCTGGTGCTGTCCATTTTGTCATAGGGTGCTGGCAGATTACGGGCCTCTCATTGCTGCTGCCAGGCCCGTAATCTGCCATGGGCCCCAGTACCGCCTCCTCATGCTGCTGCCAGGTCCAGAGTGTCTCATGGGTCCCTGTACGGCCTCCCATTGCTGCTGTCTCCATCGCCACACTCTGCCATGTGCCACTTTCAGGTCTCCTCACACTGCTGGTGCTGTCCATTTTGTCATAGGGTGCTGGCAGATTACGGGCCTCCCATTGCTGCTGCCAGGCCCGTAATCTGCCATGGGCCCCAGTACCGCCTCCTCATGCTGCTGCAGGTCCAGAGTCTCTCATGGGTCCCTGTACGGCCTCCCATTGCTGGTGTCTCCATCGCCACACTCTGCCATGTGCCACTTTCAGGTCTCCTCACACTGCTGGTGGGTTCCATTTTGTCATAGGGTGCTGGCAGATTACGGGCCTCCCATTGCTGCTGCCAGGCCCGTAATCTGCCATGGGCCCCAGTACCGCCTCCTCATGCTGCTGCCAGGTCCAGAGTGTCTCATGGGTCCCTGTACGGCCTCCCATTGCTGCTGTCTCCATCGTCACACTCTGCCATGTGCCACTTTCAGGTCTCCTCACACTGCTGGTGCTGTCCATTTTGTCATAGGGTGCTGGCAGATTACGGGCCTCCCATTGCTGCTGCCAGGCCCGTAATCTCCCATGGGCCCCAGTACCGCCTCCTCATGCTGTTGCCAGGTCCAGAGTCTCTCATGGGTCCCTGTACGGCCTCCCATTGCTGCTGTCTCCATCGCCACACTCTGCCATGTGCCACTTTCAGGTCTCCTCACACTGCTGGTGGGTTCCATTTTGTCATAGGGTGCTGGCAGATTACGGGCCTCCCATTGCTGCTGCCAGGCCCGTAATCTGCCATGGGCCCCTGTACCGCCTCCTAATGCTGCTGCCAGGTCCAGAGTGTCTCATGGGTCCCTGTACGGCCTCCCATTGCTGCTGTCTCCATCGCCACACTCTGCCATGTGCCACTTTCAGGTCTCCTCACACTGCTGGTGGGTTCCATTTTTGTCATAGGGTGCTGTATGGCCTCCCATTGCTGCTGCCTCCACCGCCACACTGTGGCTCCACACTCTGGTTTTGGCCCGTGACTGCCCAAATGAGTGAAGTGTGCGGTGATTCTAAGATCGACGGCACTCATCTGCATGTCATACTGACTGACAGTATTATTTCTCTTCCCCAGCAGACTCCAAGGGCATTTAAATTAAAGGTACAGTGTTCTGCACTAATATAAAGGCTCTCTGAAGCCTAGAAACACCCTTTTATAAGTTAAATTTGCAGCGAATATATTCGCATCGAATCGCCGAATCAGCCGAATCGAATTTTTGAATACTTCGCTCATCTCTAATTAAGATATTACCAACTGAAGTATTTTTTTTGAGAGTCTCCCTAAGCCCATAAGAACTAGAAAGGATTGAAACCCATTTGAGAGATTATTTGAGACACGGGGAAATGGTAGACACGGAATGGCAAAAATACACAAGATATTATTGGAGATTGACATTGACACAAAATTAATGCACATAGAGAAATGGGAAAGAGATATAGGAAGGAAAATAGAGGAGGAGGAGAAGAGGAAAATGTTCACATTAATTCATGAAAATATTAGTATGAGGGAAGTAGAAGTAAATTATAAGTGTTTGAATAGATGG